AGTTCTCTGCCGATATACATCGGCGGGAAGATACCGGAGTTACTTGCAGCCTCAGGGGGACCCACGACGCTCTGGGAAGTATGCTGACTTTAAGCTCCTTAGGTCGAGTTAATGTCCTATTAGCTATATCGAGAACCACGTCATGCTAGTCCCTAAAAGGTGGCAAACATACACACCCTCTTTCCATTACAAAGTGTAGAACGCACTTGCCCCCGATATACGAAGAGGTCAGTACACCTCGAAATCGACCTGGTGACTCATTTGGCTCAAATGGGCATGGATACCTAGATCTGTGCTTCGGTGACTCAGTTCGTCTAACGGTAGGTCCTACCAGCCGACGCTTCCCGCCATAAGGTGTCGGGAGATATGCATCCCACATACTAAGTTCCAGATTCTGTGCGACTACTCACGAGAGCCAGGTGGCCATGAGGGAAACCGTTAACGGCGTTGAGTGGGCGCGGACTCCTGTGCTCGCTCTATTCCAATTAAGCTAGCTGGTTCTGATCGCAATCGCTTGGACTCGTACAACAAATCCTCTGTAAGGGAACTTGTACGTATTGGTTCATCGGCACGGTTGTATAGGCCGGAATGGGCCTACACGCATCCACTAGCGGATCTGTATTTTCACTCCGAGTCCGGCGGTTTCGTTCCCAAATGCAGTGGTCAGATGAGTTGAACTCATCGTCCGTCCGGACCGTGCCGCTATAATTCCACATTTGTGCCTGGCATGCTCTGCCTAATTTCACGGGAAAGACCCCTATAACCTAGGTTCAGCTCTGCCCCAAGTGGCTGATCCCGCGTACTAGCTGCAAGCGAGTAACACTTCATATCCATTGTATGTGACAGTCGCCCGATATCTGCTACACTGAGTGCGCCCGGGTATAGCTGATGACACATAATCACAGGAATACGTTATCAGGAAGAGTAAGGGAGAGCCGAAATCTGTATACCCCCTGGCGGTTACCGCGTAATTTTGAATAATTAAGAAGTCTGTTCCCACTTGCGTGATGATGGTGATGGGAGATGCCAGTAGCTCATCATCAACACCGATCTCATGCTTTTTTTGGATGAGGTGTTAAGACGGTTTTACCGAACAGGTTACAGGATATCCGGCGGCGTAACACTCACGCGGCACTCCCGTTCACGCCCTCTAGAGGTTTAAACTGAGCTCCAGTCGAAGAAATAACAGACGGGATACGAGCATATATTGCTATGCTATAGCTTGCCAGGCCTACTTCTCCAGTGGTGCTTAAATGCGCGTCGCCGTCGAAAACGAGGGAAGACGGGGGGTAATGTTAGACATTAATGCTATAGTGTAGCCGCAATAACCAGATGATACTTAAACGTAAAAATGAAGAACGAGGTACGTATAGCTGTGAACGCACGGTGATGAGCTATTCTATCGGGTTATACGTGGCGCGTCTCCATAGAGCACACCAATATCAGGGGATATACAAGACCGGGCGGAAGATGAATAGATTACGATAAGGGAAAAGGGCGGTCATCTGTGAACGTTTAAGTGCAACCGTCGGACACAGGCTCGTTTCTCCAAATTTGCATACTGACATATAGCCGATGCGGCAGCCTACATTTATTATCCCTCCTAAGCAACTACTGCGTCCGAATAAAAACCTTATTGATCAGGATGTAGTACAAAGGCGGCAACCTTGATCTCGTACGAGACTTTGAGCTTTGGCGAGCCTTTTAGCAGTCTTCTAGGAACACGTTCTATCTGTACTCTAACGCAAAATTCCGAGATCGCCTCTTCTGAGTTCGGTGTATCGCATCTCCCTCAGCATGAACGGGCAACTTCTCCAATGGCTGTAACCCCGTTCGGCCCCTTTTCACCCACGCACATTTACACCGTACTAAAACGAAGAGACTTTAGCACCGAATGTCCAGTTAACATGTAACCCGTTGACAGACCTATGCCGCAAATCCTCATATAGTGTCAGTCACGGGGTCTCACTGAATTAGTGTGTTGCCCACTTTAAGGAAACATCAAGACACCTAATTCGAGGTGATGCGCCTCAGGAGATACTTGCTCTGGCGATTTGTGCGCATATCGACTATGCCCATATCACACCTTTGACTAAGGCAGATAAAGGCGGCGGCTGTCAAGTGAAACGTGACGAGTGTCTGGTTTAGTTCTTTGATAGTCATAACAGCAAATCCGGTCCTCTGACTCGGCTGTTATGTACTCACCCGACCGCCTTGGCTTTAAGCGGACGTAGCAGACCGCTATAATAGGTCACATAGCTAGAGACGGCACTCCTACTAGCTTTATAGTTGGTGAATGTTTCGGCGGTAGGATGGACGAGCGGGTTGCCGACTTAGGCTGCACATTACTCCGTCAATTCGCATATATCCTTTCGAATAATCATAAAGCTGGGAAAGCGAAAGACGGGGCACTGCCTGTATGGGGTCCATAGATACAATATTTCACGAGTTCCCACGAGCACCTCTGCATAGCCGTGGGTGACACGCGTGAGAAATAGGCGAGCTAGCGAAACGATGTGAAATAACGACAACTGACAGATAAACACGGATACCCTGTCCGACGGTGGATGCTACAGCCGGCGGAAGGAGCCAATCCCCCCCCTTCCCGACATTTGTCATGTGGCCTAGGGCCCTCCTTTCCTGGGCTATTCTGGAGTAATTGCCTGTGCTACAAACTGGCAGTCGGAAGGTACCCCCTCCGCTTACACTACTAGGTTGTAGTCCCAGCGGGCAGTCACATCACGCACAACCAACCTCTAGTAGGCCAAGTCTTGCCTCCATAGTACTACGGGGGACATACATACCCTAACCGAGCCGCTATGAAACCAACTGAGAGTATGCCGCGTCCTTTCTAAAATAAAGCAGCGCTCGCAGCTCATATACTCACTGACTCGAAGAGGATCCCATACGAAGTAGAATTGATATCACACCTCCTTAACTTTTGCTGGGTAACTAGAACGAGTTCAAATTCCTTTAGATAATCTGCCGATCATACCACATATTAATGATACATGCCTCCGACTTTCGTATAATTAGCGGCCTATGGAACGCATCGGAGTTAGCCTGGGTAAGGTACCTGTCTAGTAGAGAGGGTTCCCACTATCACACCGACGTTAATGGAACAAGCTATGTGCATGATTGCTGGCAAAGTTAAAAAGAAACTCAATGATCTAAACTGGATCCGGTTAATGGCCGTTATCACTTACAGTAAGTGTTCACGGGCAATCCCAATGAGTGATTCTTCCCTGAAGAGTGTGATACAGAAGAGGATGCCTCCGGTCCATCGTACTCTTACTCTTTCGCCGTGGGAGACTCATTGGAAGAACAAGGAGTGGACGTATCTTTTCTTTACTCCACGCTTAAATACCAGGTGGAGTGCTTCCGGATCTCTACTATATCCAGCACGATCGGAAGACTGGACATAAATTGTGGCAGCAGGGCGCCCGAAGGTTGGTGCTACTTGAGTGACGAAGGGTCGGCATACCTGTCTTTTACCTAAATCCCGGATTCCCAGCTATTACTTTACCTTTATTATAGCCTGGTTGCTAGCACTATTTTCCTACAAACGCCCGCTTTGAGTAGTACATTAAACGGTACGCAAATAGCGCTGCTATTTGTTGCGTTACAAATGACAATATCGTCTAACGTTATGATCTCTCGAATAATTCCCTGTTGAGCTAACCTCCTGTGAGCTACATATGGAGCTAGTCCGATGGGGCCACGTCGTTTTGGTGTCTATCCCGTAGCCCGTGTGCAGTGTATGATGGCCCTCCAGCTTCAGCCACACCGGTGAAGGTTCCTCACTATACAAATGCCGACGTTCGAGAACTTTGAGTTACGTCGGTCGAAAGCCGGCAACATTTTTCGAGGGACACAGGAGAATGCAAAGAAGGACGTATCTGTTGTCCAACGGACATAGTGCCTACCACTCTTTAGAGCCGGGGTCTTCGAGGATTGTATACGGTGGAGATGGGATAAGTGACGGCGGATCGATTGAATTCTGAGACTGTGTGGGCTTCATTAATCAGATCGTGCATCGGCATATAGGAGTAGGGACCATTACAAGAACCGGTGGCGTGAGAAAGTGTGTTTTCGTCTACTATCCTACGGCCAACAAGAATTCTCCATAGCGTTCTAACTCCACTTCCACCAATTGTTAACATAGTATATACAAAGCTACCCCCGTTCAATAAAGTAACCAGGTTTGAAGGTCTACAAGAGTGCGGTAAATTCAGACGGACTAGACGTCATATCCACTCTGGCTGAAAATCAAAGTCGGTGGTTATGTCTGATTCACTGGGGCCCCTCGCGTCCATGGCAGCCAGGGTGGACGCAGTACGGAGGGAAACGACCGCCATCGTTTTATTACTGTTTTGAACCGAATTAGTAGTTGTCAACACGCAATGCCATAGGTGCGCCCTGCCTCAACAGGAACGGGGTTACTATGTGGAGACTGATTCCAGGTTTGGAGTATCGATCTTAGTCCTATCTCTAAATTATAAGGTGAAACGTTCCAATTAATGAGAGCACGCTTTACTCTCAGTCCATAGAACGGTAGACAAGCCATCGACCCGTATTGACGAGCTGTATCCAGTTCTTCACAAGTATGGCTATTAACAAATGGCCTATGCGCAATTCACTCTATACACACTCCGTTTTGAGACGCAGGTCGCTAACTTAGGTATGTCAGAATCTCTTTAGCAGTCTGCAAGCTACACTTTGCAGAGATCGCGGCGACCACAGTCGACACCGGACTAACTTGATTGATAGACCCGATTAGCACGGGCTTTGGGGGATAACGGGTAATAGACGATACACCGAGTGCTGTCTCAGTGAGGAGGATCCGTGGGCGGGCATAGGTCCCCAGCTATTTCACACGATGGCAGGCCATCGTCCTCGAGACGAGTAGGGGCAAAGCATGTTAAGCGACGGCGAGTCAAACACATATCCCATGAACAGGGGCAGCCTTGCAGCGTAAGAAGTATAGTACTAGTCTTCTTCTAGGAACGCAGATGGCGACGGTGGTACATCGGGTCTTTACTTAAAGTCTCCATCATACAGGGAACCGCCTGTTGCTCGCTTACGTTCCTTTGGAGTGGCAGGTAGGAACTTGGTTGGACAGCGCATTCGTTCACGACAGAAAGCTCGCGGTCACGTGACGCACTTCAACCAAAAGCGTGCTTATTTCAATGTACTTCTGACAGGTAATTTTAAGAGGCGTAAAGCGACTTGACTATGTAACATGTTCAGTTTGCATTTTCCCCGCATCTAACATCCAATGTTGGAAGTCCCTAAAAACTGCCATGTTCACCGACCGAACGTGTAATGTTCTATAATTTGTATAAAAAAAACCCAGTCAATTGAAGCTGCATTGCTATTTACTGGCATTGCTTTTTAGCATTTCCCATCTTTCCCTACATTTTACACAATGTGATGGGTGGCAACTGCTCTCATCGGCAATTCGCTTATCCACAAACCGGTCGGTCCGCGTGAATACGAGGGGATACAAATTGCAGGCGTCCTTTATTATTGGCGAAAACGTTTTCATTTGCCGATCAAATCAGTGTTACGTAATAACGTATTCCCTATTTTCTTCGTTTGGTTAATGTTTACTTCAATATAGGATGATTCCGAGTCCTGCTATTTATTAAAGGAGCACCACGATGGCGAGATGTCACCTTGCTCGCCTGGTGTGCAGGAGGTCGGGGTTCCATCGTAACCCCGACGCCTGCTGCTGTGTATTTGGAGTTCGCATGTTCTCCCCGTGGTCGCGTGGATTTTTTCTTCGTCTCCTCCGGGTTTTCCATCCACATTTATGAACATGCATTGAGATTATTTAGATTTCGATTATTTACATTTATATTATTTTATTATGTTCTATTTTTATTATTTTATTATTTCTCTTCTACGTGACTTTACCGAAAGAACCAAGAGGAATATTTAGATTATTTTGGTGCTATAAATGTCCAAATGATGGGCCACTTTGTTGATCCATCATTTTGTCCAGGCCGCTTCTGAAATATAAGTTAATACCTCCTCAGTGGGCTTTGCCTGGTAGGATGGGGATGGCTGAGTTGTATTTGGGTGATGTGTTTACCTTTCACTCTTGATTTGAAGCTTTCGTGACTGCAGGAATCCATACTCTTTGGTTCTTTCGGTAAAGTCACGTAGGTAGAAAAAATAATAGATCACGATGTTTCGATCGCCGCACAAGCGATCGTCCTGAGGACTTTACCGAAAGAACCAATCGTTTTTTTTTACCTTTCTTGTACTTTGCACGACTATCATGTTTTTGTACTATTGTAATGCTCTTACCCGCCCCAACCGGACATTTTAAAAACAAAAAGAGCTTTATCGATCATCGGATTCCTCCAGTATGAATATTCGATTACCTCGATGACGGCTTGTAGCTCCTCGCCGTACGTCTGCTTGTAATGCTGCTTGATGTTCTGGAGGTCGACCTCGGAGCGGGAAACCAGCACGCGGATCAGAGTGTTCTCATCCGTGCCCAGGCCCTGCTGGAAGAAAATTGAGGCTCCGGATTATATTCAATCCTTAAGACGACCGAGCATTTCTCGTTACAGCCGCTGTCGGTCATCACCGCGACTCACCTTCATCGACTTGTGCAGTTTGTAGGCGAAGAATTCTTGCACGTTCTTGATGCACTTCACTGCGACAAATAGAAAGAAACGTTGGTTGTGTTTATGTTGTGCACAAGCCCCTTTTTTGTCAATTGACTGCTGGATGAAGGTCCTCTGCAAGCTGTCTCAGTTGTGGGGGGGGGGGGGCTGTGTGACCATACTTCACCTTGCGGGTTGGTGAAGTGGGAGACGGTTCACACACCGTGCTACAAAGTCAGCCACCCGAGATTGAGCCCCCTTACATGGCTAACATCAGTGGCGAGTAATATCAGAACCGGCCCTTTGGTCCCCCCGCTCTTCAACCTGCGTGGTGAAGTATGGTCAACCCCCGTGAGCAAACTGGCATGGGTTGGCCCTCATCCGGCAGTGGATTGAAACAAGGACTACATTTTGACTTAACTTTCGTGACTGCAGGAATTCATATTCTTTGGTTCTTTCGGTAAAGTCACGTTAATAAAATAAAATAAAAACCACGACGTTTCGATCACAACACGAGCGGTCTGATGACGACCGTTTGTGTTGCGATTGAAAAAAGGGGAAATCTATTATATTTTGCTACTGGCAAAGGAGGCCTCATGATGTGAATGCTTACCCCGAGCTCTCATTACTCTGATAGTGCGTTGTCTTTGAGTTGTGCGCCTTTTGGCGTCATCTGGTCGGACACCGTATGAGACTGGGCTCTAAAGAAAGCTGTCTCTGGTGTGGACCAATCAATTTCAAGGACAATGCACACATTATCAGAGTGTGTTTTTTGTTCGCATTCTGACCGCAGGTATTGTGGTTAATGTAAACATGATTCTTTGTTAAAAGGTTTCAGTTTTGTTGCCAGAAAAAAGGGGAAAAACCTATTATTAGATATTTATACAATTAGGGTTTTGTTTGTTTATCCAAAGCTTTCACATTAAGTTGTTATGAAGCCAGGGGAAATGTTGCCCTGGGTGGTTGAATGCGTGAGCAGTGTTTGTGCTTGATAGCAATTGTATTACACCCGCACGCAAGCAGTGGATGAAGCCTGCCAACAAATTCACCACGCACATACCCGAGGGGCCAGGCCCTTCAGGGATGTTTACCTTCAAGGACAGCTCATTCATTGGCTTTTTTTTTCTAAATGAGCAAACGGTACGGTCACAAATTGCATGTACACTTACAGCAAGCACACAACGCGGGCGGGGACACACAGAGCACATTGTTGAGGCCGCTCAATGTTCGGACCGGAGCTGTCAGCTTGCAACTCTCTCTAAGGCCCACGTGGTGGTGTGTCGTGCCGGAGGAAGCCATCACACAATGCCACTGTTGTGTCTCTATGGTGCTATAACATAAACTTGCCACCAGCGGCGGCGATAGGCATAAAGCAAAGTAAGCACAAGCTTAAAGCCCCCAAGTAGCTCACGTGGTCCCGGATTCGTGAAAAGAATATACAGCGTTGGTACACTAAATATCTCACATTTATAATAAACACGAGGTCATTAACATAGCCCTATGAATCTCTCATGTTTAGTCGACTTTTCTCGTCTACACAGCATCGCGAGGTTTGTCACTATTTCTCTTATCTCACAACATCTCTGTCACCAGCTTACTTTAACAAAGGACTACCCCCATCATCTCCGTGCCCAGCACAGTGGACCCACACTGAACGCCACAAAAGTGACAACGCCCTCAGTGATTATCCTGGGTCACGATGACTGCAGTGGAAGCACGCTGACCACAAATGCTGATTAAAAGTAACACTTTTTTTTAATGTCAACAGACATTTAATATACATCTCCATTATCTTCAGCACCCGCGATTTATCCATTGCAGGATGAAGGCCTTCCCAAGCCGTCCAACAACCGTCACCACGGCGCTTGTGCCAGGCTAAGTGCATTTTAAGGCCACGTGAAGTGTCAAACACCCGCTGACATGTCACGGGACGCACCCAGGTGCCATGGGTTGACTGACTGAGATGACTGGCTGATGCACCACCTGTAGTCCCTACTGCGTCAACTTGCTGTTTTATCCGCCCAGCGCTCCTCTCGTTGTTGTGAGCCGTCACCACCCCCTTCACTGGCACGGGATTCAACAATCCACCAAACTCCTGCACAGGAGCCGATTTCATCGCTTCATCTCCTCCGTGGACGGACCCACGGACGCGTTCCCTGCTTTGGACCATCGGCCATCATCCCTTCTCATGATAAGCCCTGTCCAATCTCAACTGCCTTTCTTTAAACAAAACATCTATTCTGTTTATAATTTCCATCATCGCCTGATTCGTGTTTTTCTTCATGGCAGCGTCATTCATGCATCGGTCTTTCCATGCTTGTGCTTTCATCATCAGCAGTTCCATTTTCCTCGTCATTTCCCATGTATTACGATCTTATTTCTGCAGGTTAAAGGCGCAGCCGTGAAATTACTTGCTCACTTCACACTGCTGGTGGAAGGGCCTCCACAATCCGAAGCTCTCGGGCAGTGGCTCTTCACCTGGGGTGCACGCACCCCCTGGTGGTGCGAGACTTGGGAAGATTTTTTTCGAAGGTAAATCATCGAAACACAAATTAAGCACGGGCACGCAAGTACAACTACAGCACTTTGTTTCATGAAACCGATGTATTTATCAATTTTTTTTTTACGATTGAGAAGCAAAGGGGTTCAAGGCCGCAGTAAATGTTGAAGAAGCACTGCTCTAGAGGGGCCACCTCTAGAAGGTGTTTCGGCTTCCACGCTGGCCAGATGTCTTAGCGAAGAGGCGCTAGTCACACCGGCACTTCACACAAAGCGTACGCAGCCTTCTTCCTGCGGTCAACTCGTTTATACCGCCGGGCGGACAAAGGCGGCGGTCGGGGGGGCGGATTTGAAGAAACTCGCGCCGCTGTTTCAACTGCCGCTACGGGAGATCGACTCGAACCGGCGACCTCTGGGTGGCAAGTCCTGCGGTGTTGCCAACCCCCCCCCCCCCCCACGGCAGCTTCCACTTCCTATACTCGGGCAGCGATGAATGTAAGGGCCCCTGTACTGCCAGCCGCGTGTTGAGACGTGCACAGAGTGGCCACAGCAGCGCACCTGCGAGTTGCACACAGGGCCTTTGAAACAATGAACAATGGACTGTGCCCATTATTTACACGGCTCGCACGGTGTGGTGGGGAGGCCGTCGTCCAGCAGTGGATTGACAACACGGGCTAGGCATGTGCACGTGCACAGAGGCAGATCGAGAATCTCCTATGGGGGGTTGCGGTGGGGATGCAGTTCCAAGCTTTTTACAGGAATAATATAAAAAAAACATTCAATGTATTCAAGGGTGCCGCGGTGGCGAGATGTTAACTCCCTCGCCTGCTGTGCCGGTGGTCGTCGGTTCGATCCCGATCCCAATCCTGACGCCCGTATATTTGGAGTTTGCGTGTTCTCCCTGTGGTCGTGTGGATTTTTCTCCGGGTTCTCTGTTTTTTTTCCCCCCTCCACATTTAGAATCATGCGCAAAGAGTACTTGGCTGCTAGAAGTTTCCGCTTGATAAGCCACTTTGTTCAGCTATCATTTGTGGCCAGGTCTCTTCTGAAAAAGAGCCATTGTGCTCAGCGGGCCTTACCTGGTAAAATAAAAAATAAACTTGTTTATAGTTTTGATTTTCCTGTAATTTTTTTATACAAATTTCCGTGGTCTTGGGGGGTAAGCCTCTGGGGCGGTGATCGTCATCGTTCACCACCTGGGATCCCCCACTCTGCATTAGGTGCAGCATTCCCTCGTTATTCGCGAGGGATAGGTTCCGGAGATGGTTGTGAACAGCACATTTCACAGATAACGATATTGACCTCACAAGCTACATTTGTAATGAATTACCTTAAATACATAAATAAGCTATGAAGTGCATTGACATTACCCCATCACTTTCTCACATCACATTATCTGTCATCAGTTTATTGCATTACGTTTTTTCTCTCTTGATGCAGCAGTCGTGTAGAGTTACGGATAGCCAAACACCGCGGATAGCAAGTCCGCGAATAACGAGGGAATGCCGTCCATCACATGTGCATTTCCATGGGATATTTATCCTGGCTCTTTTGCAGCATTCATGTTAAAGTGTATTCGTATCACGAGGTGAGAACACGAGAGACCGGGATAGTTTAATCTTCAAGAGTGACCTTGTGTCACCGGAACGACACAAGAAGCCGTGAGATGGATGTAGTACGACAATGAATCAAGTAGAAAAATGGGCGTGAAAAACAACTCTTGTGTTTGGGATAACATTTTGTTTGTAGGGTGTTGTTGGATTCCGTGGTTATGCTATCAACACAGACGCGGTACGGAAGTCGGATTCTCACCTGTTATTGGTTTTCCCAGGATTGCCCTCTTATAATAATAATAAATATTTCACTCATCCGACTTGGGAAATCTGTAAGACTTCCTGGGACACTACTGTTACCCACCACAATGCTTAATCACAATCATCATCATCGTCGTCATAAAACACCACTCGAGCCAATTCCTTTACACGTAGTTCGCCACTCTCACATTATCGCGAGACATGATTCCTGCCATGATGCGGCCCGTTTGTTTAAGAGCGTGCCGAAACACCCCAACAGACGACCACAGAGGGCTTCAAGCCAAACTGCTGGCGAGCGACCACCTTCCTGGCTGCCTTCCCACGTTGTCTGCGGTTTCCCCTCTCCGCGCCTGCGTCCGCGCGGGAAACGAACCAAAAAAAATTCAACAGCGCATCTCATCCCCCGCCAGCCCACCCCCTCCCGACCGAGATGCAATTTCTCACCAACGCTATATAAAATCTAAAACACGATTGTGATTTTTTTTTCGTTAAACAATTTTTCAACCTGGGAGGTGGTGGCCACCCTATAATGGCGAGAGATTGTGACTGGCCGGGGGGGGCACGGGGGGGGGGACACGGGGGGGGCACGGGGGGGGGGCTCGGGAGGGCCGCGGGGGGGGGGGTGGGCGCGGGGGGGGGCTGCGCGGGGGGGGGGGCACACAGACTCGTTGGCACCCCTTCCCAAAGGGCCTGCGATTGTTTCTGTAGCGCCGCTCGTTGGCTGTACCGTCAGGCACCGTAATCCCCTTTCAACCTCCTCGTTTCTGCTCAAAAGCCTCTTTTGTGTGTTTTGTGTGCGTGCAGGCAGAGATCGGTGCAGTGGCTGAACAAGATGTGCATGCCAACTCGCTGAGCCCCCGCTCAATTAGGGAGTTAGTGGCATTTTCCAGGAAATTTTACGTAAGCTTAAGATGTGTACACGAGGCGTCTACTGCAAGTCTGTTGTCAGAGACTTCTGGGAATGTATCTGTACTAAGTTACCCAATCTAATGTTTAGGCTTGAATTTAACCACCAATCCTAATGTAAGAACCTATACTTCGATCATATTGTCATCACCATCATCAATCTTCCCAAGCTGGTTCTATTTCCCACAATCCTTAGATTGTGTAATCCACCTAGCGCCTGCACATGACCTGACTTCATCGCTCCATCTCCTCGGTCGACGTCCTTTCAGATGCGGCCCGTTGAGCACAGGCCCCAAAGGCCCCAAAAGCTTCCAGCAACAAACAGCACAATTAAAGCTGTAATATATAATAGCGCTGCATGTTTGTTGCATGTATGCTTGTTGAACTTCATTTGCACCGTACATTGACAAACAGGATTATCGGAGGTGCAGAGGAAGGACACCAAACTAAACACAAAAAGCAGTTCTAAAAAATGAGTCTTCAATCTATATTTAAAAGTGCATAGCTCCAATGGCTTTCGAATATCGGATGGAAGAGCGTTCCAGACAGCCGCAGAAGGACATATAAAAGTGTGCGATGCAGTGACCGTCTTTGCTCGACGGGCAGCCAAAAGTCACTGAGAGGATGACCATAGTTCACGTGATGGTTTATGCTCTTTGACGAGATCAGCAAGGCATTTTAATTAATTTGTGGTGAGAATTTTGCGTGTCATGAGTGCGACCTTATGATGTATTCGTTCGGTAACCCGAAGCCAATGAAGCTCGGCGAGCACTGGACAGAAAATTGTGCAAGGTTGTAAGAAGTTGGCGGGGGAAAAATACGATGCGAAAGAATTCCATAGCGGAACGGTGCGAGAGCAGAAGGAACAGACAGACGGGCTTGTGACCTGCCGTGTGGTGAGTGAGAGAGAGTGTTGCTCTTGTGGGGAGCGGTAATGCAGCGGTAAGCGCTACGCTGCGCTACGAACCTGGCCACCTGGATTCTATTCCCGCTCACGGCCAACACCGGTGACGATTATCTGAACCGGTCCTTTGGCTCCCCTAGGGCAACTCAGCCTCAAATGACGACCTAGAGCGGTGTGTAAATATCATCACTGGGGAGACAAAGGCGGCCGGGCGTGGTGCTGGCCACCCACCCCATCGTGTGCCGTGCTGGCCTTCATAAATGCTCGCTAATGGCGCTCGCTCCTACAGTCTGTTTAGGCTACACGGGTGATCTTTATCCATGTGTTCTTGTGAACTACGATGCGGTGGGTGAGCACCGTGTGGGATGAGATGAAATCAGTCAGTCTGGCAGCCCGAGTCCGTGCTTGGGAGGCAACAACTCTCACCTATGGCCAGCAAGGCATCTTCAAACGAGCCGGCCGTCTCGCTCTTGATGCTCTCCTCGATGTCTTTGTTGGTCATTGTCTTGTAGGTGTCGAACACTGAGAAGACAACGCGTGCACGCGTTCAAACACGTGACCGATGCATGCGCACAGCAGCGGCGCAAATGTAGGGAGGTGCAGTGGCAGGGTGATTAGCTCACTGCGGCTAGCGGCCCAGTGATCCGAGTAAAATTTTGGCCACATTTAACATCAGTGGCGAGCGATATCTTAACCCGTCCTGGCTGTCCCTGCTTCACCAACCAGCACCGACCAGCATGGTGAAGTATGGTCGCATTTCCCCCATCGCTGACGTGGCGTTGGGAGGTCTTCATCAAGCAGTGGATTGACACAAGGGCCGTGCATTATCCTTGCAAATGTGATTTGTAACTCTCATCCTGACCGATCTATGAAAGCTACATTTGAATGTGCACTGATATCAAGGGACTGTGCATTGTCTTGGTGTGGTCTGGGCCGTTTTTGATGTCGTTTTGCTGCCTTGCCCAAGCTGGGGAATTTGCGTACTTATGCAATTTGAATATCTGAACTAGTCCTGGGCCTCTGCTAGGTCGACTCGACCTCAATTGAGTACCTGCTGCGATGTGTAAACATCGTCACTGGGGAGACAAAGGCGGTCGGGTGTGGTGCTGGCCACCCACCCCTCGTGTGCCGTGCCGGCCTTCACAGGTGCTACTCGTTAGCAGCACTTGCCCCAACAGTCTGTGAAGGCTACACGGCGACCTTTGTCTCCGTTTCGCCACATTGCAAGGGAGTCGTGGGGGGGGGTGATACGCACCGCGGCGCAGGTGGTGCACATTGCGCACGCACAGGATCGTGATGAAGGCTCCCTCGTCGGTCCCCCACTTCTTCTCTCCCGCCTCAAGCAGCTCCTGCGGAGTGAACCCGACCAGCGACAGAACAAACCAACGACTCACGAGTGACCCTCCGGCTCAGGCGAGCATTGGGGCGGTGCTCATCCCCGTTCGCGGCGCCGAGCCGGTTGGTGGACAATCCAGCGTTGCTATTATGAAGCCCCCCAACGCGTGGAATGAAACGTCGGCATCATAAACATTTTTTGTATTTTACCAGGTAAGGCCCACTGAGCTATATATAGTTATCTTTTTTTCCAGAAGTGACCTGGCTCTCACAAATTATAGCTGAACGAAGTGGCTTGTCATCATGTGGAAATTTAAAGCAGCCTAATAATCGAAATGCGTGATGTTGATTCTAAATGTGGAGGGGAAAACCGGAAGACCCAGAGAAAATAATCCGTGGCGACCATGGCAGGAGGGCGAGTCTCTCCATCAGACAGCCATCGTTGACTTCCCCCGCAAGGTCGTATTGGCTTTACCGAGCCCAGGGCGATGATGGGCTGAGTCAACCCTCCAGCCAGGAGGGTTGACTCAGCCAGGAGGGTAGACTCAGCGCTAAGGTGACGAGATGTCATCTCCCTCGGAGGTCCCGGGTTCAATCACGACCCTGACGGCTGCTGCTGTACATTTGGAGTTTGGGTGTCTCTCTCCCCGTGGTCGAGTGGACTTTTCTCCGGGCCCTCCGTTTTTTTCCCATCACAAGTGGAATCAACATCACGCGTTTAGAGTAAGTGGCTGCCGTAAACTTCCACACGATTCTAGATTTGAAGCTTTCGTGACTGCAAGGATTCATATTCTTAGGTTTTTTCGGTAAAGTCACGTAGGTGAAAAATTTAAATTTTATTTTACTTCCACACGATGACAAGCCGCTTCGTTGAGCTGCATTTGTGGCCAACTTGCTTCTGAAAAAGAGCGAATAGCTCAGTGGGCTTTACCTGGAAATATGAAAGTAGTAAAATATATATTTGAACTCGCAACCGCATCGTTCTGAGCTACTTGCTCTATGGCTGAGCCACCGTTTCAGTGAGCCGCGTAAAGTATTAATCATTCGCATGCTGCCCTATTGTCCTTGGCCATCGATCTGTGCGACTGGTGACCGATGACAGAACGAAATGTCATAGAAGTGAAGGCATTCATCAGATATCGCAAATACAAAACAGTTCATAACCGACGTATTTAAGGTGTTGGGTTTTCATAGCCACTTATACACACTTGTTTTGGGGTTAGGCCACATCATTGTGTTATGGCATAATTCTTGTCATCATCCCTCAATCATCCCAAAAAATTGGCACGTTTACAAAGATATTATTGCATGTGCCAATGCATTGATCAACGTATGACATTTTGCTCAGACTGCTTTGAGCTTCAGGCGATGAAGCTCAAAACAATCCTGCGCCGAGTTGACGGCGGAGGAACCCCGCAGTGTGGAGCAAGCGGATTGGTGGCTGGAGATGAGTGGACACGGTGCGAGGTGTGACGAGATGTGATTGGCGTTTGGGGAATAAGGGGACAGGGATGAGGGGAGGGGGAGGGAATGGGAGAGGGGACCGTGAGGATAAGAGGGCACGTGGGAGGAGGGACGAGGGAGAGAGAGCTGTGGATGGAGAGGAGAGGGCTGCGTATGAAGGAGGGAGCTGTGTGTGGAATACAAGGACTGGAACCCTTGCTTTACCTGCCTCCGTGTGTTGGTGAGGAGAGTGTCCGCTACAGATACATTGGCCACGTATAAATAAAATTGTAATACCGTTGTAAACGTGACAATCTTGTCGGGTGGTGGAGGGTGAACGACATTAACTTTGGCATAAAACCCCCATCCACGTGGTCTCGTACAAAAAAAAAACATGGATCACATTCAAGGTGTGTTTCCAGTCCTGGAATGACCACTTAACAACTTAGCAAGAGTAATTTATCGGTTGTAAAATTTTTAACATTGCGGTTTCCGCACCCCGTCACCCCCCATATTATTCCATCGTTTTGGTCGAGTTTGCTACGTACGGTTGAGTTTAACCATCATTGCGTCTACGTAGGATTGAGCTCACACGTCATCGTGTCATTCATCTGCATGCAATTTCCCGCCATTGCCGACCCGAGCTTGGGCCCCGTGACACAGATCTCCGTGGCTCATCGCGATCTTCCAGCGTCCACCAAGCGCCTGCGTCTGCATCACTTCCACGAGCTGGCAGTTCGGCGAGCGCGCTGCCTTCCGCGGTCTGCGTTATCGGTTACCTTCGCGTCTTTTTCCACGAGCTCTTGGTCCACGAAATTCCCTTCGTCCCTGTTCGCCTGGACACACAAACAAATCGGATCAAAACGTGCGCTCGGAACGTTTACCCCGACACGCGCCGACGCTCGGAATGTCGCCTTTTTTGTCGTCGTTTAATGAATGCGTCTTACCTGCCGTGACGTACGGATTGTATCGCACCACCAGTTTTGTGCGTGGCGGCGCAAAGCGTGCGATTACTTCGTACTCAAAGCTTCAGGGACTGCAGTCGTCGCACGGATCGCTGGCGGTGCGTACGAAAACACGGTCCCCTTTCATGACCTCGCCTGTCGCTTCACTTTTGTCTCCGCCCGGTGGGCTGCACCAGACGCTCGCCTCATTGGGGTGCCGCGGTGGCGAGATGTTAACGACCTCACCCAGTAGACAGAAGGTCGTGAGTTCGATGCCGACCCTGATGCCTGCTGTATATTTGGGGTTTGCATGCTCTCCCTGTGGTCGTGTGGATTTTTCTCCGGGTCCTCCGGTTTTCCCCTCCACATTTAGAATGAACGTGCGTTTTGAGTATATGCACTTTTAAATCCAGATTGGAACCTCATTTCTTTAGAACTGCTTTTGCATTAAGTTTGTTGTCCTTCCCCCGCACCTCTGATTAGCACGTTTGGCTACGTACAGTGCAAAACACGTTCAACATACATCCATTCCAGTTCTACCCCTGCTTCCCTTGCTTAGTCCTCCAGCTGCCCTGCAATCCTCCAATATCACGGCAAGACACGACAGCAAAGTACATCCGAACTGTGCTTCATCTCTCACGGCTGTAGATTGCCGGCAAGCGCTATGTTGATGTGACTGAGAATTCGGAGTGGAATGTGTCGCGAATGAAGCGATCCCATCGCGGTGCCAAGCCGCGCACACACCTGCAGCAGGGCCACCAGGACACGGCGCAGGTAGCTCGAGGTGTCCGAGGCGATGTCATCCTCCAGCTTGTTTCCATACTCTGAATGGTAAAAGGACGGACATAATTTCACGTGCAATTGATGATGATGATCATCATTTTAAAAGGTTTCAGAAAACTTGACTGGTTCACAGCGAGGCCGATTCTGCTGATGAGACGGTAAATGCCAAAGCCGGCCCAGACTTCGCTTGTGTTGCACCAATGCTGCGACGGATGAGATGCACTCCGAGAGGTTGTTGTCATTGTGCCCCTGATGATCGTTGGCAGGATGACACCAACACGCCCTGAATGACAACTTCTGAACAACAACCTCTGAATGACAACGTTTTGCCACAATTTGAGCTCCGGAGTGATTCATCGCCTCCCCACACCACGCAGCCTCCTATCGAGACGTTGGAAGCTAAACGAAGGCCAGCAGGCGGTGTTAGACCACGCCGCGGGCCGAACTGGTTGGAGATCACGGAACTGACCTTCCTCGTACACGTGGCTCATGGCGTTGATCTGCTGCTTGGTGCGTGAAGCCAGGATCTCGCTCAGGCAGCCTTCATCTGTCCCCGCGCCCTGCCACGGTGAACGGCATTAACATACGCGGGAATCGACTCACGAAACGTATATCGCCTCTTCCCCATTACAACTTTTGAAGTGCTGGGAGCACGATGTGCGTCACTTCGCTTCACGCGATGGGAGCTTCTTTCATGCTGAAGAAGCCCCCAACATCATAGCCAACTTTTAATTTCACCAGGTAAGGCCCACTGAGCAGTATAACTCTCCTTCAGAAGCGACCTGTCCACAAATGATATCTCAATAAAGTGGCTTATCACGTGGCAATTTATAGCAGCCAAATATTCTACACGCAGGGAAAAACCGGAAGACCCGGAGAAAAATCCACGCAACCACGTGGAGAACATTCAAATTCCTAATATACAGGCATCAGGGTCGGGATCGAACCCACGAGCTCCTGCATACCAGGCCAGGTCATTAACATCTCGCCACCGTGGCGTGCTAACCCTAGGAAGGGACTGAGCAAAGGGGAATCAATCAGGCAGGTGCATTATGGCAGTATAAAGGTTGGTATTCTCAAGGTTACAAATACGTAATGTGCACAATTATCACTCGGAGGCACAGGAAACCACAGATAACCGGGAAGCCAACCGCAACAATTGCCCAAGCTCTTTGGACCGATATTGGCATGTCTGGCCAACTCTATCAATGTGGGAGAAAGCTGGAGCACCCGGAGAAAACCCATGGGTACAAAGGGAGCAACACACTATCCCTGTACAGATTGTCAGAGATGCAGTCCACATTTGTTGCCGCTGCTGCTGCTGCTGCACCACCGCCTTCTCCTGGCTGAGAGCTCTTGTTGAGTGGAAAGAGATCCCGGCCTCATTTGAGCTGGTACGGCCCATTGAGCCAAGCGGCGGGCTTCAATAATAAACCGAGCGGCACAGCGACACGCGCACGTAGGGAGCCGGGAACCAAAAGCGCCCCGAGCTATTGTCACATGTCTCTTATCTACCTTTTTTAGCAAGCTTCTCGATTCTTCTTCACTGCCGCATCTCGCATAGCCTATCAGGGCCCCGTGTCAACGAGTGGCCTCTAAACCGACTCCCACTCACGTCAAACCTTTTTCCAGGTTGCTAGCCTTCAAACCTGTCTGCCGATGCAGTCGAAGCGCCACATGCGCTCCAATACGGTGTGCGCTGAGCGATCATCCAATGACGTGAGCGGTCATTTTGGTGGGGAGCTTCACCAATCAGCGGCAAACGATGCCCATTTCAAACCGCGAAGCTCTTGAACTCCGCTGTAAACTGACGGCATTTACAATACACAGGGTATGCCTTTGGGCCTTCCTTACGCAAGGGCGACCACACTTGCTGACCACCCATACTAGATATCTGTGAAAAACAGCTTCAAAGCTCAGCGTATTCCTCCAGTCCACATAAAGATTATGATTCTGATTCTGAAGACCGTCAGCAGTGGCAACAGTTAAAGGACATTACAGGATGGCAATGCGCAACCTAAAACGATAAAATAAAATTAACCCGTAAAAACTAAGTTTTTCACTATAAATCCTTTATATGCGTGGCATCGGGGCGGCTAGAGTCCTCTCGTCCTCTGGCTTGAGATGGCTGCCACCTATGGGTCAGATGATTGTCTGGCAGCATTAAACAATTGGTAATTAAATATTTAAAAATTTCCCTAAACAGTGTAAAATTTTGGAATTTTTTTTCACGAAAATGCATTGTCACGCACAACGAGTCTGTGTGCAAAATGTCAGCTCGATTGGATCACGGGAAGTGGGTTAAAAAACGACCGAAAGATTTGCACGGTCCTAAGCAAGCAAGCGAACTTAATATAAAGGATTTAAAAACTACAAATATTGATGCGAAAACGGACGTCTGGATAATGACGGTGTGAAGCTTGGTGTTCTAGTAAAGTGCATGAGACGGGCCCGCGCCCACCTTGATGGCGCTGCGCATCTCGTAGGCGTCGTACTGGGCAGGAGCGTGGAGCAGCGCCACCAGCGCCCGCTCGAACGAGCCCGAAGTCTCCGACTTGATGTCGTCGATCAGATCCTGCGATGCGGACACACAAATAAAGCCCCGTGCAGTGGCAATAGTGCACGATTGTATGATACGTGTGGATTCGCATAGCGGTATCTCTGAGTATGATTTTTTTTATTTAGACTGGAGGAATCCGATGAGCTATGAAGCTCTTTTTCACAGATGTTCCAGTTGGGGCGGGTCAGAATGTCGCAACATCAAACAACGCAAACACACGATAGGAGTGCAAATTATAGGAAACAAATCACTTTAAAGAATATACAAATAAAATTCACCTATTTTTTTATCTTATCAGGTAAAAGCCCACTGAGCTATTAACTTATTTTTCAGAAATAAGCTCATCATGTGGACATTTATAGCAGCAAAATCACTTAAATAATCTACGTGTGCGATCGCACCCTAAGACGCTGCACGGAAACAGGGGACAGATTTACTTCATCGAGAGAAAGAGGCAACCACAGGCGGAGGGATAGAGGAAATGTACTAACTACATCCAGCTTGGACTTGAACAGTGGCAGGGAGTTAATGGAACAGATGGCTGGGGGAAGGGATGGGCCTCAACAGAGATAATGACAACGTGAGGTGGGTACACACACACAATAATCACACGCAGCAAAAAAAAGATGACGTTCCATTCAAATCCAAAGTTATTGAACGTGTCACGGGTAAGGTAGGTCATTCTGTGGGAGTCATGCCAAATGTGGATCCCTCAAGGGGCTGCGTGGTGTCCCATGATTGAATGACGAACGACCGCTTTGCCCCTCACCATTGCACCACATTAGAGTTCTTTTTCCACAAATACGTCAAATAATTGAGGCGTATCGTGCGCAAAAAAAACTTGATAACTCGTACATTGATATTTCTTACATGATGTGTGCTGGTTTCATTGAATTCATTTACAATCCACCTGCGGTCGTTGCTGTTGTAACAACTCCCCACAGATGACCTCACAATGAACTGAACACTCATTCACCTATTCCATCCACCTGAGGAGGCCTTCGTTCAGCAGTGATCGAACTTAGCTTATGGTAATAATGGTGACGATGATGATGATGATATTTCCAACCAATTCACCAACGTCTAAACATCAGCCTACTCCAATGACAATTATCTTTCGCGGGGGTTGTAAAGTTTTTTTGTATTTCCCGGACACTCAATTGTGGGTGGATTGTAACCTGGCAGTATTCTAATTTGCAAATATTTGGAGTCGGTGCAAGATGACTGGATTATACTCAAGAAGTTTTACGCACTCTGCCGTACGCAGTCTTGTACGCCTTCATGATGAGCTGCCGTTGGGCGTTGCTGCGACGAGTCAGCACGTCCGTCAGCGTCTTCTCATCCGTTCCTACACAACACACACACACGCACTCCAGCTTCAAGGGAAGAATCACCAAATGTTATTATTCATTGACAAATCAATGGAGATGGCCGGGTGACTCATAGGTCAGAACACCGAGGCAGGTTTATATGAAGGTTTCCACCGCTTGTTATTAAACCGGGTTCTCAAGTGCAGTGAGTTTAGAGCCTCAGCTCGGTTAACCGGTGACTCTACAACAAAAATATTGCTCACATTAAGCTCGGTTCTTGACTGAAATTTTCGGCAAAATAAAATATTTAAAAACATTTTAATTTTAAAAGTGACGTGAAGAACATTGCTCTCTGTGGCAAGGTGCGAAAGTGCTGGCCCCTACTGTGTGGGCCAGAGGTCACATGAAATAATCTCGGAATGCAGTTCAACGACATTGGCACCGCTCTGTGGATATGGGGCCGTCCATAAATGACGTCACGCGATTTTGGACGATTTTTATCCCCCCCACCCATCGTCACACGGCGTCACAAAAAGTCAGACCAACCCTCAAATATGACGTCACAAAGCTCTGCCCCCCCCCAAAAAAAACCCATGCTTCTATTGTCGTTGTAGTGCGAATTTAATGTTGGAATGTGGCGCTGCACTCTGATGTTGTAGGAGAAAACATTTATTAAAAAGTATATTTAACTAAGTAGAACGTGTTGTCTATATTTATTTAAAGTTGCGCATTTTGATGTGACGTCACATTTCTCAACCCCCCCCCCCCAGGTGCGTGACGTCATTTATGGACGGCCCCCATCTGAATGTTTCCAAATCTCATGGCACGACGCGAAAGAAGCAATTGAGAAAAATAATTGCCACGTGACACCGTGAACGTGTAACAACATGTAGAGACCCAATGATTTCATTGCGCGAACGTTTGGGTGGAGTAGTGGTGCAGCGGTTTGCGTAAAGCTCGGTGAAGGCGTTCGAGCCCAAGCCATGGCTGACATCAGTGGCGAGTGATAATCAGAACTAGTTCTGGTCCCCGTATTAGAGTAGCCAAAATATTCTCTAAAGACTCTCCATGAAGAGCTCCCTCCAGTGGAGGCCCTTCCACCAGCAATGGCGCGAACAAGAAATTGCAGGGATGCGCCTTTATCACCTTCACCTGACCACCACACCGTCCCAAACCCTTCAACAACCCACGATGACCTGCATGGTGAAGTATGGTCAAACAGCCCCACGACTCATACGGAATGGCGATGCCTTCACCCAGCATTGGATAGACACAGGGCTGTAAAGTATTGTTACAGTAAAACCTCGATTTACGTCGGGGATGCGTTCTTGAAAGGCGCGACGACGAATATCGAAACGACGTCAATCAAAGCGATTTACAGGGTAGGTGGGTGGAGGCGAAGGCTGAGAGGCGACGGATGACGAGAAAGCACGGAGGATGCTGTCAGCGACGTAAGTCAGAATCTTTATTTAGACTGGAGGAATCCGATGAGCCATGAAACTATTTATTCACAGACGTGCAAGTGTGGGTTGAGGCGACGCAAATTAAGGTTGCGATGTTCGTGAAGTGACGACGCATTGGCGAAACGACGTGAAAGGGGGAGACGTAAATCGGGGTATCGCTGTATTTTATATCAACTGGACGACACGAATGCGAAAGGGCACACGCAAACGTGTGGCGGTTGGATAACTGAATGTAGGGGTTTGCAAACGCTGCGTGATGCTTACCCAAGCCCTTCATGGCCTTGTAGAGTTTCTCTGCATCGGCTTCCACGTTGAGACTCGGGCTCTCCCTGATGGTGCCACGCAGGTTGATCACCTGCGCAAGCAGAACACACAGTGCCCCCGGTCGTACTCCTCCACATTCAGAAACACGCAATGAGATGATTTAGATTTTTTTGGGGCCATAAATGTTCGAATGATGGGGCCACTTTGTTGAGCTGTCATTTGTGGCCAGTGCCCTTCTGAACAATAAGTGAATACCTCAGTGGGCTTTGCCTGGTAGGATGGGGATGGTTTAGATTTATTTGTAGGTGTTTGGGTGGTTTGTTTACCTTTCACGTACTTTGCACTACTATCGTGTTTTTGTTTACTGTTTGTTGTTGTAACGTTCTTACCGTCCCCTACTGAACATCTGTGAAAAAGAGCTTCACAGCTCATCGGATTCCTCCACTATAAATATTCTGATTCTTTAATCCCAAATCCACCACCCCCGGCCTCCAACCACCCAGCAGACTGACCGTGGTAAACCACGGTCAGTCAATTGGCAGGTCGTGAGTGGCAGGGCATAACGTGGGAACTCTTCCAAGACATCTGGCCAGCGTGGATGAGTAGGCCAAATACCCTCAAGGGGGCATCTCTTGAGATCCCTCGAGTGCAGGCTCGTTCTGCCAGTAGCAGCATTGACGAGCAGTCGCAGGGCCGCGACGTTACCTTCACTCTGGACGGGGCTAACATTTTGATGATTCCCTTCATCATGTTGTCGCTGTTTGGAAATATTTCATTGGGGTCTTAAAGCGGTAGCTGACTAGAAATTGTGTGTAAACGGGTCTCTAAACTGGCGCTGGACAATGTAAACGATCTTCACCGAACATTTGCTCCCCAGCAACTTGAGCCAAACTTGTATGTCCTCGGTGATGAATATGACATGAAGTTCGTCAATTAGCGACCGGGCGACCTCTCTCTCTCTGCCCGGATGAGCTCGTGCGGCTCGGACAGCCGGCGGTTCGGGTGGCAAGGGGTCCCCTTCCTCGATCCGAGCAGGACACGTGGACGGGGGCGCCACAATTGAGCACGGTCACCCGGGTGCCTCTGTGTTTCGTGGGAACACGAGAGCTCGGCGGACATACGAGCAGATTGCGTTTCATTAATAATAATAAGAAGAAGAAGAATGAGAACAACACCGCATGGGTTTTCACAGTCGCTCGCCTCAATCGCCACCGCGGAAGGCGCCGCCGTGGTGGCGAGAGGGGGCACCGCAGTGGAGAAATGTTAACTACCTCGCCTGGTACACAGGAGGTCGTGGGTTTGATCCCGACTCTGACGCCTGTATATTTGGAGTTTGCGTGTTCTCCGCGTGGTCACGTGTATTTTTCTCCGGGTCCTCCGGTTTTTCCCTTCCACACTTAGAAATGTGCGTTTGCAGCACAGCATTTGGCTGCTATACATTCCCACGTGAATGAGCCACTTTGTTGAGCTATCATTTGTGGCCAGGTCGCTTCTGAAAAATGGCCATAGAGCTCAGTGGGCCTTGCCTGTAAAAATAAAAAGTTTTGTCGAGTTTAGAACTGGCGTCTGTGTTTGAATGGCAGCAAGAATTGGTTTGTGCCGAGATCTGGTGCCGGTGTTGTGTTGAACTACTCTTACACTATAAACCAGACAGTTTTGAAGAACAGGCCTAGGCTTGACTGAGAAATGTGTCCGGGTTTGGATGGAAAAGGTGACAACCCTACACCACGTGATGATCGACATGATGTCCGACGTTCCGCTCACGTGCTGGAATGATGACCAATGCAGCTCTTGAATCGGGCTCCAAAGTCTCACTACTCACACTCCACCATGCATCAATCCAAAATAGATTTGATAAAACTTGTCTGTCCACCAGTGGTGTATACATGTGTGCACCACAGTTCGCCAATCTGTAGGTCACGTGTAGTGGGGTACAGTGTGGGTACTTCCACTTTCTCCAAAACGTTTGGGCAGCGTGGAAGAGTAGGCCAAATACATCCTCTTCTGGCAAAGAGTGGTGCAAGCAGGAAATTGCAGAGCTGCAACTTAACATTTTATATCCACAGTGATATATCGGTCTTCTTTGATGCCAGTTTAACAAGTAGGGTTTCACGACAAATATTATCCATAAATAAAAAACATTAAAATACCGTAAATTGCGGGGATAATTGACAAACTAGCCAGAATTTTTGAAAAACAAAACATCCGAGTGAGATTTGGCACGGTACACAATATACAAAAACTAATATCTGGTACTAATGATATATTACCGAAGCTATTAACAGAAGGTGTGTACCGGATTAATTGCTCCTGTGCCCAATGCTATTTTGGTCAGACAGGACGAATGATCAGCACGAGACGAAAAGAACACCAAAGGAAAATTAAATTATTCCAAACACAACTGTCCGCAGGGGCAGAAGACGCGTGCCAACAAGGACACTCAATTTATTTTGATAATGTTGAAGTTTTGTGCAAAACTAGTTACTACTGGCCAAGACTAATTAGACGATCTATTGAAATTGAGAGAATTAAAAATAATTGTAACCGTTCTGATAGCTTCAGGCCTGGTGCTGTTTGGAAACGGATTCTCAAGTAATACCACGCTGTTTAACTGCATGCCTATGCAGGTTGATGGTGATTAATTGTGAGCAGTCCACAACAGATATTGCGATTTCTTACCAAAAAACGCCAGAATGGACAAGCTCACAATTAACGACATCACATTTATCCCTCTATTTAGACTAAAACAGGAGGATTTCCCCACGATTCTGGCTGTCCGGATGATGATGCTGGTTGTGATTACTGGCGAAACGTCGTAGTCGACTTGTAAATGGTGTGGGTTTACCCTCCAACGCACCGGTGTGCTGAACTAGTAACGAATTTGCATGCTTTGTTGACAAACCTTATTAATTGGCTGTGTCGGGTGGTGGCGGGTTTAACGACACATTTATATTTACGCGATCGCACTTAAAAACAACTCTATTATTCTTCAATGCCGCACTGTGCACTGGATCTCTCTTTGGTGAATGAATCTGGCCCTGGTGTCTGCATTCCCCGTGAGCGGTCTCATGATTGCACGCTTCCTTTTAATTTTCCAGGCAAAAAAGATGCGATTCACACTGGCTAAATTCAGCATACCGTTTCGCCCTGAATTTAAGACTGTATCCAAAGCCAACGTCATTTCTTGGTCAAATGAGGCGGTGCCCATCTCCCCATTAACAGCTCTGAGCCAACGGTAGAAATCCCGCATTCCGATGGGTGCAGTGAATTTTAATGAGATTTTTTTTTTATTCCTCGTATATAAAATCCAGCATCAAGTTGTTTTACTTCTCAAAAGAGCATTGGGGCGGACTGCGCTAAAACCCCTCTTTACAGCCCTTAGCCAGTGGTGGAGATTCAACATTCCCATGGTAGGGGGCGAGTCACTCCATCGGTGCAACCGCTGTTGACGTTCCCGCAAAGTGATACGTTGTTCTTTATCGACCCAGCAGGGACGATGGGCTGAGTCATCTCGTAACCGGGATATGAACTCGCAACCATTTCCGATTGCGAGCCGCTCGCTCTGCCGCCCGAGTCATCCGGCCGGTGGCTTGTGTCATCCCACAATCTGATGGGGCCAATGACGCACGCACCCTAGCTGCTTCACCAACTATAACGAGAGGAGCAGCAACGCTGCACGAGCCGGCCCTGTGGCATGAGCACCCTACCAACGTAACGTCTCGCCGCGTCTCGTATCTTCTCATCACGTATTTATACTCGCTTCTGAGTAAACGCTCTGCCTCTGCAACTATTTTGTTTCTTAAGACAACTGCCTGGTGTTTTCCCCTTTCCTTTCTTGCCTTTCGCATATTTTTTTGACTGCATGGTTTTTGAGTCGTTATCATGCCAGTAGTTGTAACTGGAGGTGGGTTCGGCATGAGCTATACAGCTTGACACCTGTTCAAAAAAAAAGTGACAGTGTGCCTCCTTCCTCTGTTTGTCTCTCCACGTATACTCCCCATCGGCCCAACGGCCTTTTGGGAGTGCATTTTTTTCAGCAGCATTAGTTTATGCAAGCAAAAACTGTGGACTGTTTTCACATTCAGTGTCTCATCAGCGGAGTCAGGCTGGCTCGCATCAATGCTGATGAACTGCAAGATGCTTATAGGCAAGGATAGCTCTCTTTAAGATATGGGTCGCAGTTGGATGCAGAACTATACAATGCACAACACAAAATTATTATTTGAACATACACAACAAATAAGTTGGTAAGGGTAGGCCCAGGACTGGTTCAGACAGTGGTCAGTGGTGTTGTCTGTGAGCAGGAATCAAACGTACAGAACTGTCCCTGGGCTCACTCAGAAATCTCCAGTTGGCTTGGCGGCACTGCTGATGGAGCTAAATCCAAGGATGCGCAACCCAGCAGCCCAACACAGGACTGAGATTTAAAATAATGGCGCATGCGCGTGTTGTCTTTGTACACTAATGCGTTCTGATCGACCATGCGTGGCATTGCCTGGGTGAATTTTTTTTGACACCCAGTAAAATTGCATCAAACGATACTTACGCCCCCTTTGGCTGCCATGGTTGGTTTGTCGCTTGATCGATGTTCCGGGGAGCTCAGAAGCTGCAAAAAAAAGGGTTTTAAATTAAACTTACGCGACGGGAATACGTATTACTGCACACGTTTACTCGTGAGAATATCGAAGTGATAAAAACACATTTCCACTCCGGCCCCGTGGCTCAGCGGTAAAGCGAGCGGCTTGCAATCGGAAGGTTGCCAGTTCAACTCCTGGTTATGAGATTGACTGAGCCCATCATCCCTCTGGGGGGGGGGGATCTATAAAATGAGTACCACTTTGTGGGGAAGTCAAATGTGATCGTCCCATTCAGACTCACCCCCCGCCATAGGAATGTGGATTTTCCACCACTGTCTCAAGACTATAAGTGGGAGATTAGCACCAATGCCTCAATTTTCAATGCTCTTCGTTTGAGCAGGCGCGCACTGTGAGTGATAAGGTTGGTGGATCAGCAGGCGAATGCAGATGACTCTGTGGGCCAGCACAGCTCAGAGTCTGGGTTTGAAGCCCAGTCAGCAATGTGAGATGAAAACGTCGTTCAACTTTTTCAGTGTAGCAAGCTGATGGTCATCAAAGCCTGTTTGAGAAAAAGATGGGGGAAAAAGCTACGAGAGCGGGTAGTTGAGTTTTGTAGTTAACGTCGCTCAGCTCGTGTCCATGGATGTATCATATTTGAAGACATCAGAGAGTGGCAGAGAGGCGCAGTACTGCCCTAGCCAGCCACCAGGTGAGGTTGTCGTATGGACTACGTAAACCAATTGTGAAGAGTGTGACTCAGAGGCTCCACCTTTGACCAAATGATGATGACCTATGAGTATTGGCCAATGACCGCATTACCCGGTATGCCAGAGACGGTGGGGACTATGCACGTGGCTTGTAATCCAGCGCTGCGGAGCAGGCGAGGGTTGGTGTCTGCATGGGAAGGAGCGGCAATGGGCAACCTCGACTGGCTGGTTGGTGGCCTCATGCACAGTCCTCCTTCACCTAAGTGGACCGAAAGCTTCAAATCGTGCTTATGCACTCACAATGGCCCCACGTATAACCCGAGACGCACGCTGAGACCAGGCCAACGCGAAAGGCTCCACGGGACGCATGCGGCCAGCAGGCCTTGGTTTGCCCACCACTGGATAGAGCGTTTCCCCCTCGCATGCGTGGGTTTCCTCCAGGCGCTTCGGTTTCCTCCCACATGATAAACACTCATTAATTGGCTGATACCTTGACATACAGTGGACCGCAGAGCTTGGCCAATTGTAAGCTGCCGGCTCAGTGCGCGGCTCCCTTCCCGCTTTTCTGTGGTTCCTCACCCCTTCTGTGTCCTTCTCTCTCTATGAGAGCGAGTGAATATGCTGTGCAGCGGTGCAGTATAAGTTGAAATCATGATTATTATTATTATTGTCTCGGAAACGTCCCAAAACGGGGATGCGGTGGTCCGATTAGCACCTTCGCTTAGCCGCGGTTGGCTACATACGGTGCGAAAGAAGTTAAAATAAGTTAAAGAATTCTCAAAATGTTCAGCATTTTGAATAGTAATCGGAGTAGAAGGCTGCTGTGGGCTGATAGGTGACGTGAGGTTCGTGTTTTTGAAAGTTCGAGCTGACGATAAACTTTTGTAAGAGGAAGCACGATGCCACAAATCACAGCGCTAGGCGATCGCGGAGGAAGGCGCTGCGGTGTTTCACAAGAGCGTCATCGTCGGCCAGTCGCGGGCGACGGCATTGCGATGTAGTTTTCCCCATGTAGCAATTTGCAGTGTCATTCTTTAAAATTTGAACCCGGCACATAACGGCCAACCACTTTTAGTTCTTCCCCAATAACCTGACGGTATCTTTACCGTCCGCTGTGAAGCGGGCCGGCGAGCAGCAGCAAGTCAAGGTTAACACCTCCCCTCCACGCAGTATTAACCAGGGCGGCCGCGGGGCACGAACCGCGGCAACAGCTCGGATCGCTGATACGTTTGTGGCACGGCGCTGAGAGAGGCCTCGCCCGTCGATGCATTATTCAGCGGCGCAATGCGACACTGGCGCAAGCGGCCGTGAACTCGATGCCCTTCTCGTATTCGGCACCGGTGCTGCATATTGCAGGAGGACTCTGTCTTGCAACAATCGTGAATAATAGGAAGGACTTTAGGAAGAAAAGGGTGGCAGATTGTAGGAGTTTTTCGTGGACTCTGCAGCTCCACCGATAACGGGAGTCGCGGATAATAGGCTCGCGGATACGGTGGCATCTCCTGTAAATATTTACACTGGTGGGAAGGAAAACCATCACTGGGATGAGCAACATTTGATGTATGTTTTGAATGTGTTATACTACGTGTTGTCAGAAGATAGTCTGAAAATAGGACAAATATTCAAGCTGATGATGTCACCACTTTGAAGGGGACTTGA